CTGCAGACTTGTGAGAAATGGGGATAAAAGCCAATAAGAGAGTGGAACCGAGACTTCCACCTCTCTCCAAATGCTTTGACAGCCGCTTTGCAAAACAAACTAAGCTGTGAGCTGGCCCTGGACAGAATCCTAACTTACCCCTGCTATTTTTAAAGGGTAGGTACCCCTCTCTCTTACTCACATCCACCTTGGAGTAATTGTACCAAGTCATAACATGACTTACGACTCAGGAATTTCTCTACCTGTGTTAATCCTAGAGTGTCTTCAGAGGTGACTAGATCGCTTATTTGCACTGGGATCTGAAACACACTGACAGTTGAGGTGCAACTGCTTCTTGTCTTAATGTTGTTCTGCTTTTTGCAGCCTGCCAGCGTTAAAAAGAAAAGTCAGTCAGTTCCACTCTTTAAATGACTCTTTCAGAGCAAGAGAAATATTAAGGATGAAGTGCAGGTTTATGCTTGGTTTGCACTGAAGTGGTAGAAATTAAGGGATGGTCTGCTGCTACTCTTTCAAACAGCAGTATTTCACTTCAGCAACAACTTCAGTAATAAAGTGCTTCTTTTCACAATTATCCAAACTGCTAGCTCCTAGGTTCAATCACTGGTGTCTCAATGTCAGGCTGAGAGAGATCCCTACCTGATATTTTGTGGAGCCATTGCCGGTCTGTGTAGACCAGGATTTTCTAAACTTGGGGTCTCCAGCTGTTTTTGAACTACAATTCCCATCATCTCTGACCACTGGCCAACTAGCTAGGGATGATGGTTATAGTACAAAGACAGATGAAGAGCCAACTTTGGGAAACCCTGGTGTAGACAATTATTAGCTAGATATAGACCAGTAGTCTGAATCGGTGTAAGGCAGCTTCCTGTGTCCCTACGTTCCTCAGCCAAATTCTCAGGGCAGTTTACAAGCTTTTAAATCAATAAAATCAATTCTGTAAAAATGGTATCAACTAGCTACATAAAGATCAGCACAAGATAAACCTACAAGCCAGCACAAAATGACAGAACACTTCACAAACTATTTACCAGTTTATTTTGCTGTGTCCTACTTAAAGTAGGGAGGGGACGCGGGTGGCGCTGTGGGTAAAAGCCTCAGCACCTAGGGCTTGCCAATCGAAAGGTTGGCGGTTCGAATCCCCGCGGCGGGGTGCGCTCCCACTGCTCGGTCCTAGCGCCTGCCAACCTAGCAGTTCGGAAGCACCTCCGGGTGCAAGTAGATAAATAGGGACCGCTTACTAGCGGGAAGGTAAACAGCGTTTCCATGTGCGGCTCTGGCTCGCCAGATGCAGCTTGTCACGCTGGCCACGTGACCCGGAAGTGTCTCCGGACAGCGCTGGCCCCCGGCCTCTAGAGTGAGATGGGCGCACAACCCCAGAGTCTGTCAAGACTGGCCCGTACGGGCAGGGGTACCTTTACCTTTTTACTTAAAGTAGGAGGCTTTTTGCTTTTAAAATAAACTATTTTTTTCTTTTGCAAAAACACCCTCTACCTTGGCAGAAGAGCTGTAGCACCAAATTCTAAAAACTAGGGTAGCCTAATGGACAGAGTGATGGTTTTGTATTTGGGAGACTTGTACCTATCACCCCCAGTTACTCTGAGCTATGGTGTATCCAGAAAACATATTTTGAAGGGGCCCAATAAATTCTGCTATGGTCTGTTGCAATTTGTGTGCATAGTGTAGGCTTTTCCAAACTTGGGCCTCCAGCTGTTTTGTACTACATTTCCCATCATCCCTGACCACTGGTCCTGCTAGGTAGGGATGATGGGAGTTGTAGTCCAAAAACAGATGGAGGCCCAAGTTTGGAAAACGCTGGCATAGTGTATGCTGTTACAACACACTTATGCATTTCATTGGCCCAGTTTGTGCGTAATGCTAAGCCAAAGCATGGATACTTTGAACAAAACTCCCCCCTCTCCCGATCCTGCTGTTGTTGTGCTACCCAAAGCTAAGCCATGGTTTGATTTGGTGTCACGCAATCTGTGAACCCAGGCTTGTGATTTGTCTATATAAAAATACCTAAACACCTGTTGGCTTGGTAGTTAAAAGGGTATGTATCTCTTTCCCAATTACTTCGTTTCTTCCAATGCAAGATTTGGATAAGCATTACAGTACATGGAAAACCTCCAGTTGTTAAAATGACTGACGGAGGAAGCTGGTTTCTGGCCTTCCTCCTGTAAATATATTCTGGAAGAGTACCAAACAGCATTGCTCCTGAAAACAAGCAATTGAGGGAGAGATATTTCTAGAATACTCCATCTGTAGCATAGGACTAATATGCAATACTTTTGTACTTATTAGAAACTTTTCTTGCTGCAGGCAACCCAAGACGACTTTACAAAAAAAATACACCGAAACACCCCTCACATCTGTTTTATAAGGCCATAGATTGTTAACAGCCAACTGCCTGGTTGAAAAGGATTGTTTTTGCCTGGTACCTCTGCCAAGTTGGTGCCCACCAGATTTTTTAGACTCCGACTTCTGTCATGGGAGTTCTGTTGATGACACACAAAGGGCTCCAAATTAGCAAGGTTGATTTAATCCAGTTAATCCAGTATCAGTCCAGTTTGGGGCTAAATTTTAAAAAGTTGTTCCAGATTGATAAGGAGGCTTAAAAATATATATCAATTTATTGTTAAAAGCTTTCAACATAAAATACAGTAACAGTCAATCTGTCTCCCATATAGTGGTGGCAGGCTTTGAGCTTTCCAGCCAGGCGTCTGCCATTGGACATGTGTGAGGGCTCTTCTGAGCTGTCCTAGCCATCTGCTTGAATCCCATGACACCCTAGACTTTAGCCAGGTCTTATTCTCCGCAAGGCACTGAATGACTGCTCTAGGGGTACAATTGCTGCCTGAGCAAGAGAGATGGCCAGTTAGACCCACCGCTGTAGTACAGTGGTACCTTGGTTTACAAACTTAATTTGTTCTGAAGTCCGTTCTTATACCAAAGCGTTCTTAAACCAAAGCGTGCTTTCCCATAGCAGCGGGGGACTCAACAGGAAGCGGAACATGTTCTGCTTCCAAGGCAAAGTTCACAAACCAAAACACTTACTTCCAGGTTTTCAGCGTTCTTAATCCAGGTTGTTCATAAACTAAGCTGTTCTTAAACCAAGGTACCACTGTATCCTAAATTCTGATGTTCTGCAGAGAATGGCTCACACCTTTCAACGATATGCTACATGCATAAGTGTAACAAAAGCAGGCACTGACTTTTACTTGATTTGGGGCCCCTTGATTACGCCCATGTTTCTTAAGGTGGAATCTTAAGGTCAACTAGGTTTGTGGAGTAAGGTTAAATTTACATTGTGTAATGTAAGAGATCACTTTTTATTTTGTATGACAAATAAATTAAAACATAACACCCCCCACCAACAGCCAGACTTTTTAGAAGGTAATCTTAATAAAGACTACAGAACATTTTGAAGTGCTACATAGATTATGTTGCTGAAAGAGCCTTCCTGCCTCCTTTCGGAATATCGTTGAGTACAGTCTCTTCTTTTTATAAAAGTGATGGCCAGTCTTTAGATAATTTCCAAAGGCACTATCTTCCTCTTGATAAATAAGAGCATAATTTTAATACCCTTAACTCAAAGCAGCAGCATTAATAAATGATTTAATCCTGTTGGCACCTAGGTCATGCTTATTAACATGGTGGGCCACAGATAATTGCATTTTGACGAGATTGACAAGCCATCTCAAGTGGCCCTGATTGAAACGTTGTACAGTGGTACCTCTGGTTACGAACTTAATTCGTTCTGGAGGTCCGTTCTTAACCTGAAACTGTCCTTAACCTGAGGTACCACTTTAGCTAATGGGGCCTCCTGCTGCCACCACATGATTTCTGTTCTCATCCTGAGGTAAAGTTCTTAACCCGAGGTACTACTTCCAGGTTAGCAGAGTCTGTAACCCAAAGTGTTTGTAACCCAAGGTACCACTGTATTCTGCTTTAATAATATTGAGATCCTATGGTGGTGGGGAGGGGGAGTTACTTTTTCTCTTGCTGGTTTCTGGTTTCCCAAATTGCTCTGTTACAGAGGTCCTTCTTTTCATAAAATCTATGCTATGCTAACATTTTTTGTTTAATAAATTAATATAATATTTACAACCCTCCCCCCTGCCCCAAGTAACAACAGGTTGACTGGTATGGATTGCGGATGGCTAAAATAAATTAAGTCCTTAGCTGTCAGTTGCTGTTTCTGTTCAGGCTGGAAACATCTGTGGTTAGGTAGCTTGAAAGATTATAGTCTGTTTAAATAGCTGAAACTGTTTTGTTTTCCCTGGTTTAAAAAGTATGCTGATTATTTCAAATGCTCTGCCTGTAAGGAATGTAAAATAGTTGAGCTGCTTCAGTATGGACTTAATATCCCTTGCTGGCTATGCTTTGGTCCATGTTTTCATTCAAACCTGCTATTGTTTGAACAAAAAATTAATTTCTATAGAATGGGTGGTTGGTTTGTTCACTGGGAACACAAAGCATGCTGCCATAATAAAAGGAGAACCCAAATCTTTAAAATGTGACCATATATAAACATATCTATATGAATGATCTGAGTTCTCTCTTAATTATGACAGCGTGACAGAAAATGCTAAACATTTCTAAGAATATCTGTTATAAAAATACGATATACAGAGTTTTATAGTATAAGAAACAAAGATAGGTCTCTGCCCTCAATCAGCTAGCAGTCCTTAGAAGCTGAGAGGGTGAAAATGAAAGGGGCAGGATAATGGGAGAAGCAATAGGAAACCCGAACCTAACTGCATACTTAGATCATTTTTGGAGATCAAGAAGGCTGGGAGCTAAACAAGGACTTAATTAAAGGTGGTTTTGAGGAGGGAATCGTTTAAATGGAACTTTGCCTTATGCCTGGATGTTTTGGGTAATCCTGAATTGATCTGTCCTGATATTTATTTATTTTTAGAATATTTCAGGTATATTTCCTTTGCAGGTTTAGAATTCACTGTCAGGTTAATAAAAACGTTTTTGTCTTACGGTTGCAGGGACCCATTAAGAGAAAGCTAGACGATGATGGTTCTCCAACCTCTACCACCATGCCTGAGGCCAGCTTTCCAAGCGACAGTAAGAGACTCTGTCTTGACGATGTCACCCTTTCCATGGGACATGGGGCCAATCCTGTTTCATGCGCAGATATGCAGCAGTCCCCATTCTCCACCAGCCACAGTGCATCCTCTATGGGAGTGGCAGGGCATGGAATGCTGCTTGAAAACAACCACATGAGTGGTAGCAGTATAGGTTCTCCATTTCAAGTGCCACCTAACAGTGAAGTAGCACAGAAGGGGCCCTTAGGTGGCCATTTTGATGAGAAAGCAGGAAACATGCATGCTGTGGACCAGGAGCTGCAAGATCTGCTGGAGGAGCTGACGAAAATGCCTGATCCTTCTCCCAACGAGTTGGACCTTGACAACATCTTGGAGAAAGATCCCCTTGGTGGCCCATGCCACCCGCAGCAATCCATCAGCAGCACTCCAAGGGCCTCTCCACAGACCCCGCAATTCGACAGCCATGTGCCCAACAAAGACTTATCGCAGGGGTCTCCTCAAATGAGGCCTTCATCAGCTGGCGCAAGCTACCTGGTTCCGAACCAAATCAAGAACATTGGTTCACCGGTTTCTTCAAACAACGCACCAAACAAGAGCCAAGCTCAGTCTATGCTCCAAGGAGCTATGCCCAGCATGCCTGGCACCAACTGGCATGCGCAGCAGCTAAAGCAACTGGCTGCGAGCAAGCAAGGCCCAACTGCTAAGCCTCAAGCTTCCAGTTGGCCTGCCATGTCGTCACAAGGCCTCTCTCCTCCTTATCAACAAGGATCGTCCCCTCACCAGCAGCCGTTCAGCCCTCAGAATGTCATGGTGTCTGGCATGAGCTCTAGCAGTGTGCCAGGGAGCAGCATTCAGAGTCCTCAGAACTCCCTGCTCTCCAGCATAACATCTGGTAACAACCCGTCCGGCGGTCCATCTCCTCCTTATGGTTCCGAGAAGCTTTCTAGCCCAGTTCTCAACCAGCAGCCGTTCAGCCCGCCAAATCCTATCCTGACCAACCTATCCGGCAGCAGCATCAAAAGCCCACAGAGTACCAGGCCCTCCCCACCATACAGGCCAGAGAAGTTGTCGAGCCCTGCTCTGCACCAGCAGCCCTTTAGCCCTCAGGGCACCATGATGCCAAGCGCCGCCTCTACAAGCAGCTCAGCCAGCATGCAGGGCTCTCTCTACAAACCCATGTCGGCAACCCAGGCCAAAAGTATGGGCATGAAGTATGGGCAGCAGCCCTCAAACAACATGCAGTCGGGCTTGATGAACGAAAGCGACCTGGGCAGCCAAGACCAGTTCTCCTTCAGTAACACCAAGCCGCTGTCCCATTTCAGCTCTGAGCCCCCAGCTCCAGCTCCTCAGAAGATAGATTTCCCTACAGCCCATAGGAAGACGCTCCTGCACTATCTGCAGGCAACGGGGCCGGTGCCCCCGCCACCGCCAAAATCTTCTCAGCAGTCCCAGCAAGCTAACAGCAGCCAAAGCCAAGTCATGCAGCAGCAGCAGCAGCAGCAACAACAACAACAAATGATGCACCCGGCTCCGGTTCAGCGGCCTCGACAGGTACAAATGCCTTCTTCTGCTTTTTGTTCTGCACTCCTATACCATATGCCCTTAGCTACCGGTGGCGGACCTGTTAGTATGTTCTTTGCTTCTACCCCGTGTTACGTTGATGCCTGCTGTCTAACTGTGCATTTCTGACTGCATCTACCCTGCAAGGATGCCCTGACTCAGGATGGGGTGGGGGACTGGGGGTGGTGTATGTCTGTCTCTCTTGCTCTTTCTCTCTCTGTGTGTGCATTTAAATTGATGGGGTCTTTTGGGGAGCGGGGGCTATGTTGCTGTTCATTTCTCTATTATTATTTTTAAAGTTAATTTCTTAACATGTGTGAAATCTGATTTTATTTAAGCTACCCAGGTTAGTGCATCCGGCTGTTAACCAGAAAGTTGGTGGTTCAAGCCCACCCAGGGATGGCAGGGGGCGGCATTGCGGGGGGGTTGGATCGGGATGTCTTCCCACCTTACAATTCTGTGATTCTATTCAAGGTGGTGCACCGGGCCAGGTGGGGAGTGGGGAGGGGACAATTAAAAATATAAAGGGCTAAATATAAAGGACTACGAGGATTCATGCTGTTTATCACAGCATCATTTATTTTTCTTTAAATATATGGATTGCTGGGGTGGAGGTCAGGCTGGTCCATGATGACAGATGCCCATCGCATTATGTGTTACCTTAAAACACAGCAATTCTCTACAGCACAATGGCACTCATTCTCCCTCGAACGTGTTTGCCATCACAGCAGCAGACTCATACCCATTTTATTCCCACATTCATGACTGTGCTATGATCTAATTTGGTTTAAAATGCAAAGCTGCACGTATTCAAGGTAGAAATACATATAAAGCATGGGACTGGGTGGTGGGAAGGCAAGAGCGGCGTTATTTACCCAATTCATATGCTTCGAGCCTAAAGAGTCCAGGGTCTAAAATTGTCCAGCTGCACCCAGCCCGTTAGAAGATGAATTTCATAAAACTAAGCCGTGTTGACTTGGCAGACTTCCTCGGGGAAGGCATTAATCAGCTTTGGCTGTGTCTTGGAGACAACTTTGTCCTGCAAGCAGCCAGGCTCTACTTTTCAAAAAAAAAGAAAGAAAGAAAGGGGGGTCCTGAAGCAACAGTCCTGAGTCCCTGGAGGGTGGTGAAACATCTTTTTTTTAAGCAAGCAAGCAAACAAACAAACAAACAAACAAACAAACAGGCAGAGTCTTGTGCTGCTAGACTTCTATCCAGATGTGGTTATGTAGGAGGGCTTTTTTTAAGACAAAAGAAGATGTTGGACCCTGGAAAACAATTCAGCATTGGATCCCATAACTTGTATATGGTTGTATATGGTTGTGATATGCTGTGAGTTCTGCTATGGTTGAAGCCAAGTTTCAATTTTATGTTCCTTATAAGAGCTTCATGGTGTTGTGAAGCCAAATGAGCCCTGTAGATGATGTTTTGAATAGGAGCAAGTAGGACTTGAAATACTTGATGCAGCCATTCTTCCAGAATGACCTTTGGGGGGGGGGGAGAGCAAATAACCTTATTTGCCTGTTCTGCAAGGGATCTGGTTGCACATAGAGCAATAAAACAAAAGGATTGCCACAGGCAGGTTAGCTTCTTGGGAGTTATCTTACAAGGAGCTCTCTGGTGACTGGTTGATTGCAAAGGATTATTGCAGAGTAGCTGGTGGTATCTGCCGTGAGGCTTTTGAGACAGAAAAAATGGCGAAAGCCCTGTATTCTATTTGGGAACAAAGCAATTTACATTAAGCATAATTTCTCATACATTTCCAGATTTGGCACATGCCAGCAAAGCTGTAGAACCCACTGCCCAATAGACAGGTAGCATTAGGCCAACCAAACAGGAACGGAAGGCAAAATCCCACCTGCAAGTAAAAATTATTTCTTTTTTTTTTAAAAAAAGTACTCTACCTGTTTAAGAGTGCTTGGAATGTATCATTTTCTGTCTCTCTCAGGCACATGAGAAGAGGTTCCCCAACACAGGCAGTTTCTTCAACATGCAACCCTTAGGGGTCACCTTTGCTCAACTGGCTATGATCTCCTGATCTTCTTCTTGAGAGGTATGGACTGAAATTTGTCCATACAGAAGAAGTCAGGGGTAGCAAAGCGCCAGGTTTGACACGCAAACAGTTTTGGACCTTGAGTTTCCCTAAGGTGGCCGGCAACATCCCACAATGGGAAGGGAAATGACCCTCTTCAACTGTCAGGTCAATTTCTTCCCATTGTAGTTTGTCTATCTGCACAGATCAGCTGAGGAACGGGACAGGGGGGCTGTAGCAGCTTCTGGAGCACTTGAGTTGCAGTTGCACTCATGCTTGCTACAGTGATTTAATTATTATTTTTTATTTTTAAAAAACACCCTCTTCTCCATGGGTCTTTATTTCTCCTGGACTATTTCCCCCTGTTTAAGTTTGTTCTTGAAACTACCAAACTGGGAATGCAGGACTCTTCTGTGCTGATGAGCTATAAGAATCCAAGTCTATTGTGACAATAAACATGAGCAAAGACAATTTCACATTTTCAAATCGGTTAGGTAAGCTCATGACGCCTGACTGGTTTTACTAGGGAAGACTTATAACATTAATTATGTACTAAACGACAGCTCTGCTCTAGATTTTATATAGCTTGTTAAGCTGCCTCTGAATAACAAGTGAGTGGAGGATCAGGGCATTTATTTTTAAGAGCTTAATGGCTTTTATCACAAAACGTGGATTCTGAGTGCAATCCTTGGAACAGCCCGTGGAGACATAAATGGATTATCACAATTCTGGTATTGCTCAAAAACTTCTCTTTCATATTGCAGTGTGTCTGTTTCTCATGGGCTAAGGGTAAAAGCATCAATTGATTAATAGGATGGAATAATCAACTAATTAATCACAAGTCAATGGTGTGGGTTTTTAAACAGAGTTTTTTTAAGATGAATGACCCTTGGTGCAACTGTGTTCAGAGCTTGTGACCTGATTGTGAAACCCAAACACATACTCTGCCTAAGAGTCTTGATTCTCGCAATTCTGTTTGAGGGGGGGGGGTCTGTTCTCAAAGCTAGGAATGATCTTTCTACCTGGTTTGATCTAAAAAACATGGTATTTCAATGAAATATTTTTTAAAAACGAAACACTGATGCAGTAATTAAATTCAGTTCATTTGTCATTTGAGAGCAAGATGAGAGTTTCTTTAGGTTTTAGATTGTACCTTCATAGCTGGGTCACCACAGGGCTTTTTTCAGGTGGAACTCTCCAGAACTCAGTTCCGGCACCTCTAAGGTGGGCACCATTGCCATTATAAGAGAACAAGGGAGGCATTCATTGTGAGTTCTGGCACCATTTTTTCTAGAAAATAAATAGTACTGGGTCATCATTGACTTTTGCTTTCCTAGTCTTCCAAACCTATTAAAGGAGTACACACACACTTCATGTCCGTGGCTTGGCCCACTTTCGTAATGTGAGTTCACTCACTGCTTCTCCAGAAAACAAAAGTGGGAAAGCTGTGGGGGATTTCAGTTGACTTGACTGAGTCTGATCCTCCTTGAAGGAGAAGAATGGGGAGTTTGCCATCCTTTTTTACACAACATATTTATTTAAAGCATTTTTAACCACACTCCTTAGCCAAAAAGCTTCCAGAGTAGCTTACATATGATCAATAAAAACAAGTTGGTTCTGCCCACAAGCTTACAGTCTAAAAACCACAACAGGAAAAGGGGATAGGAAGGGAAATGAGGGGGAGAAGCAAACTGGAGCATCGGTTCTTAAAGTTAAATAGTAGTTCTTATAATCCCCATCTGGAAAGGAGACAGTTCAGGCAGAAGAGGAAGCAAATGGAGCTGGTCTCTCAAGCTGATGGCATGGCCCACTCCCATATCTCCCTTGCCTGCAGCTTGATTGAATGGCAGCTGTCAGGCAACAGCCAAGGGAAGGAAGGCCCAGTTGAGCTGGTCATTCATCAGAGCCATTGCAGTGGCCCTGTTTAACCACCTCTCCCTGTTGAATTGTCAAGGCAGGAGTCAGGAGCAAATCAGCAATAAGTCACAAGGTGTCATTGAAGTTAACTCTTTATTCAAAGAAACCAAAACGGTGCAGGGCTAGCAATCACAGCAACGTTTCCCAGTAGGTCTTGCCCCAATAAGGCTCTTGCAAGGACTGAAGGCCTTCCGACTGCTCTCTAAGGTTCCTCCTTCCCCAGCAGCCTAAGGCTCCTTTGCCTGGTCTCTCATTGCGCCACCTTCTTCATTTCTCTCTGTGTTCTGGGAGTCCAGGGGGGAGAGAAGCTGGTCACAGCAGGAGGGGGAGGCTCCTTGGCTTCTTCAGCTGCCTGCTTCCACTCTGCCACCTGGCCCCCCTCCTCTCCCACCTCTGAGTCTGAACCACTCTCTTCCCCAGCCTCTTCCTGCTCACCAAACCCTGTTGCCTCTTCAGCTTCCGTAACTTCCTCCTCCCAGTCTGCTCCCTCTTCTCCCTCTGGCCACTCATGATCTTCCCACCACCAGTCCCCTGGCTCTGAGCCACCTTCTCCTGGGGGTTCCCTTGGGAGTTCCCCAGCTGGTTCCTCCCACCACTTCTCTGCATCCAGTTAGTCTATGACATGAAGGAACAGTGGAAACTAGTTTGGTACAGTGGTACTTCAACAGCACAACCTTTTGTCACAATGGAGACACTCTGAGGAAGTGTTAGTACTGATCTATGCAATATAGTCCTCTTTTCATACCTTCTGAAAGTGTGTAGAATGGAGGCTCTGTGACCAAAGAACCCATTGATATATGGAGGTTGGGGTCCATAGACCCAGTTTCAGTTTCCTTCCTCCTCTTTGTGTTGATTCTACTCACATTTAAGGAACATATAAAAGAGTGATTGCAGGGGATGCTGAGGCTGTGGCCCTTCAGATATTGTTGGACTACAGTTCCCATCAGCTCTAGCCAGTATAGCTAATGGTCAAGGATGATGTGGGTTGCAGTCCAAGAACATCTGGAAAGCTACAGGTTCCTCATCCTTGACTTACAGTCTG